GACAAAAGGGGATTCTGCTCTGCTCAAAATTTCTGTTTAGCCTACAACTCGACCATATGTGCACCTTCGCTCAACTAAGTTTTCTTGCAAATAAATAGGTGTGTTTGTGTGGGATTGTGCAGTTAAATCTGGGTAAAAAATGAACAGTTTTTCTTCATTCATCACCAACTTCAACCCCAGCTTTTGCATCGTTGAACTGTAATAGTAATAACAAACTTTTCCTCAGTCGTGTATTGTATAAATCTAGACTCTCAATGAATATTTGAAACAGCTTTCTCTTATATATTCCCCTTGCATGTCTACTGTTTTATAATGTATATGTAGTTAACATAAAAACCTTGTATAGTCATATGCGGAGCTTGAAAGATGAGAATTAACAGTAGCTGAATGAGCTTGAAAAAGAAACAAGACCTCAAGATATTTCTAGAAATATTCATAAGCCAATTTGGCTACGTGGGGAGCCTGACAAGTGTATACTCCGCATTGTCTATAAGGGGTCCTGACAACGTTCGGGTACGACTAACATTTCTCCCTAGCTGAGCCTTATCGAGGAGGCAGTGAGAGGCAGCCAGCGAAAAAGTTTGGAAATTAGACTGGATTCAACGACGAAGCTGTAAATGTATGCTACCAACAACAGGTTGAGTCGCTGGTCGGACAAGCTAAATACCACGCAAGGTCTTGATTTGTTGATTTTCTCGCTTATGAGAACGTTTTGGCCTTTCCCGACGGCCTGGTTGGCAGAGGTTCCCTTATGAACGAAATAACGCAAACTTATCGACGTCTCTCTGGAGAACGGGAGGAGCTTAAGTGAGACAGGCCAAAAGTGAAATTCTCGTTGCTTTTTTTCATTTTGTTGTAGGTAAATTGTTGTTATTGTTATCAGTTAAATAGATAGAACGAAGGAAGAAAAGACATAATGAAAAAGGTGTATAATAAATAACAAAATACACTGATAACGTTCACACAACGAAAGATCGAGACGATATCACAAGGAAGAGAAAGTGTACGAACAGATAACAACCTTTCAGCCGAAGAAAGTCACGCTGATGTAGTAGGCGATCAGTACGAAAATCAGGTACGTGTACAGACGGACAAGGCCTTCTGCTGGATAGCGTTCACAGCAGTAATGAGTTCCAATATTTAGTAAAGAACAAACACACACAATACATATATATGTAATAAAGGTAGATATATAAGGCTATTACAGTGGAGTGCGATATCTCAAAACACGAGCACAGTATTACGCTTATTAGAACCTTTTCTATTTACTGTTTATAGAATATGAAACAGAGAGATAAAGCCCAAAAAAAATCGACGTACAACTATGTGGTTGTTTGCCCGTAACGGATTATTATAATAAGCCTAGATTTATTAGACTCTACCGAAGGTTTTCAGAAGTTTTAGTTTGTTTTGTGGAACTCCACAATCGATACGAAAGCTAGTTAGAAATTTGTTACGATACACTAGGCTTCGGTTAAATTCGAAATACACTGTGGACATTTGTTTCTTGGATGTGGTAAACATTAAACCATGGGAAAGACGGGTAGGCCGATCAACGATAGGCACGGAGCCATTTTTCAGGGTAAGCTGTTTTGGAAAAAAAAAGTAAACGTAATGAGTGGGTTGCCTATAGAGGAACGGATACATTAGAACCTGCTTGTTTTTCTAGCGATTTTTATAGCTGTCTGTCGCAGTCGAGAACGTCAATCGACAGATGAAGATACGTTTCAAGATGCTAATCTACACTTTTGGTTATAGGCAGATGCATCGGTAGTTGCAGGGCAAGCAAATTATTGAAGACGCACATAGACGACTCTGATGCGTTTCTTTGTCCACAACTTTCGGTCTTCAGCCGTCGATCTAGGCAACGAGAAAGTTCGGATCGTTTAGGTGAAAGATGTTGAAAATAGATTAACTCGGATATCTTTGGCTAGGCAGGCGTTTGACAGCACAGATGAGACCAACAAACCGCCAAACAAAAAAAAAAAACGTAGCCAGCGATAAAGAACGAACTTCACAATGTCAGGTAAATCTATCTTGTACCATACAGGCGTCTAGAATCACATTGAATTGAGTGACTAAGTTTCTCAGGCGCCCTGTATTTTCTTCACAGAAATTTTTGAATCATTGCATTCATATCCTCGGTTTTTTTTTTGTTTTTGTCCTCGTTTCAGTTTTTATTCTTTTAGTTTTATAATCGCAGTGGCGTTTATGACAACGTGACAAGTTTTGGACGATTCGGTCTGTCGGCTTGTTTTGTTGTGTTTGTACATTGTATATTTCATCATTGCTCCCGATGTTTATGCTCACTACTGATGTGATTTAATTGGTCCTTGCCTGTTTTTTTTACACTTTGCATTTAGTGCGTTCTGTCTCGATGTGTGTATATATATATATATATATATATATATATATATATTATTACTAGCGAGGGATTCCTATATATTTCTGTATATATATATAAATGTATGTTAACGGACCACAGTCTCTCTCTCTCTCTCTCTCTCTCTCTCGCTTTCGCTCTCTCTCTCTCTCTCTCTCTCAGTATTTGTCATTTAAAGTCATGCATATTTAACCATTTCATTTCGACCTCTCTAGTTCAATAATAAATACAAGCCTGGCAGACATCGGAAGAGAAGCGTAACAGCGTACAGCCATAGTGACAATATTAGTAACAAAGTTCTTGTATGAACGTCCTCTTTAATCAATTTTCGAAACGGCTAGAGAGAATCATCTGTAGGTCAATATTATTATCAGTGATTATTAATCAAGCCATTGAACAACAGTCGGCATGGTCTGAGGTCGGTCTGGCGTCCATTTCATCGCTACTATATCCATATTAGCTGATGGTACTATCTTAACGATTAAATCATTGTGGCCAAACTGAATATATATGAAGTCAAGGACCTCGTATGAATTAAATTAACCGATTCGAACTGAGGAGCGAACAGGAGTCTTGGCGTTAGGTTAGTGACTCATTGCCTTTCGGAATATCACTCACTCGTATACTTCAGATATGCGAAACTCTATTCGAATTTGGCAGCGTTCTACCGTCATTGTTTAGATCATCTACTAGTGTTTCTAGTTATGTTGTCTACCTTATCATGCTCGCAATTTTTCTCATCTATTGTATAGTATGAATCGATAGGTGTTTGTTTGACTGAGTCGTCCGATAGTGGTCTTCCTCTGTCGGCCCCTCTGTCGTTCGTCCGAATCAGAATAAATACACACACACACACGTTCGAGCGCCTACTTATAGACTCGAGACTTGTTGCCCGACAATGGTGGACAACAAGAAACGACGGAACAGCTCCGACACGATGACAGTATGTCGAACAATTATAAACGATCGAAACCTATCGTAGCTTGAAAATTTCAGAGCAGTCTCCAGTTGATCTGTAATGATATTCGAGTGTGTTTGTCGTGCAAGGAAGATGCGAGCTAGTCCTGTGTTTAACCACCCTTTTCTTTAGAGACTATTAGTTAGCACTTACGTTCCCCGCGAACCCTCGTAATCACGCCAGTATATTGCCATTGGTACGAAGCATGATGGATCGACGATACGAAACGTAAGTCATAGAACACTCAATCTCATCGCGCCTAAAACTCGACGCAAACGGCAGCCATGTTGGTTTAGGAGACAAGCTGCAACAGCAAAATACGTAGCCCACTGCTAGACGCCCCTTCTAACTTGTAACAGTCAAAATGCAACCACGCGCTACCAAAATGAAAGCTGGATAAGGGTGGAAACCTCCGCACGGTTGGGCCGTCTTTCCCCCGAGATCTGACCGAGACTGACTGAGAACACGTCGCTATCGGTTTCCATTTCACCGTCGTCATCTCATTAATATTATTATTAATAATATATTATTATTATTACTGTTATTAATATTATGATTATATGTAACATTGTCACCAACGTGTTGGCTATGCCCGAAGGTCAGCTGAGTTTTGAATACACTATTCTTTAGGAGCTAGTTTGAAGCGGGCCCGGCAGTCAGCACACACATCTTATGGAGGCTAAAAGCTAAAAAAATGCCATTTTCAGGGCGGCAGGTGGCTCTGCAAGGCATGGCGTCTAAGCTTGACGAATTAGGTTTTGTCAAGATGACATCGTAAACGTTCAAAAGCCACACGATGCTTCACGACTAAGTCCACCGTCTAAAAATGTAAGTCATAAGGGTTTCGCGCGACACAATTGTATGAGAAACATTGTCGGCCACACTGTACGGACGTCGGCTACCCGATACTTGGCTATTTCTCCGTTACAGACTAGAGGTCCAGCCGGTCAGATCTAGGGAAAGAATAAATTTGTTTTCGAAAGCAGTCTGTCTTGGGACGTTACATCAAAACACAAATAAATTTTATAGTACTACCCCATTTGTTAGCGCCAGATTACTGCGCATCACTACGTATCGCTTGTTGGCTTGCCACTGATGATACCTCATCTCTTAACGTCCTATCCATCCAGCTTGCTACGCACAATTTTCTGCTTAAATGAAAAACATAGGTAATAATAATAGTAACCGTCATCACCGACGCCATGGATCGTGCGTCCATTATTATTTAACAATGACATAGTTGAAGTTAATCTGTACTGTCTCATCAGTTTTCAACGTTAATAAAAGATAGCAGGGGACTGTCTTTTTACAAAGTCAGGGATTTGAGAAGGCGTACGGCTAGGCCATTGATGCCAGCAGTGAAAAGGTCACCGCGAACCTTATCCCGGACGCCACCCTAGTGGACGCCGCCTTTTGAATCTGTGTACACTTTACATGCCTTTAATACATACTATTACTACAGAAGGTCATAGCCATTTGATATATATATATATATATATATATATATATATATATATATATATATATATAATATGTGTTTATACGTTAAGCATATAATTTAGAGAAGTAAATTAAATAACTTAATATATAATATGCAATAAAATAACCGCAGTAGAGTGTTTTGGGGTTACGCCGCTACCCAAGAATCCCGATTTCGCGAAGTACGGGACCTGGTCTTCTTTTCGGTGTGTCCATGAAAGTCCTGAATGTTCTTCAAGTGTTTCTTTTTTTATTCTATATTATGGATTATTTCTCTTTCTGTCTCGTCGAACTTGATCTTGCTGCCTTCTTGCCGTTCTTCAAATTGCTGATGTTTATGCTGGTAGCTTTAAGTGTTGATGTCGATGTTAGCTTTGAAATAATTTGTTTGCTTATTTGTCTCGATAAATTACATCTGGTCATTGTATATCCTTTCATAGCACCCGAACTCTCGCAGAAAAGTCGATTTGTGATAGGGTTCGTCGTTGATGCTGGTCGCAAAGGTCAGCTTCTTGCTGCTCACACTTACTCGTACCGCGGAGAATGGGGAAACATCAGGGCTTGTAGCTCACCACCACATATTCGGCTTTCAAATCGCCGTATACTTATTAGCATTATTATTATTATCATCAGAGTTATTATTATCGACCCCGAATCACATTTTATGCCACTGTTGTTCGATGACTGAGGTAAAGTGCCGCTAGGAAGGTAGGTCGAGTGAAAAAAACGCAGGCTTTTTATTGACACTAATTCTTGCCGATTCTTCACATCCCTAGTTCAAGTACGGGTACGTTGCTGCGTTACGCTTTTAAGGTTCGATTGATAGTCGACCTCTGAGATCTGAACTTTGTTGAAGCACAGACACAGTATCGGATTTTTTTCGCCTTCCAGGTTCTTGCCACGTAAGCACCTGCCCGCAACTTCTTCTGCACTTCTGCAACTACAGCGCCCCTTGCCTACGCCCGAACCTCCAGAGGGGTCCGACACCATTGCGTAGCATTTTCCAGTCGTTTTCTTTTTTTGTTTGGAATTGTATGCTCGCTTACTACCGCGTGCTGTCACAGACCACTCGTAACACAAATGCAACCATTGCCATCTACTGCTGCTTAATCCACTGCTGGTCTTAAACCTTTTTAAAAACTCGTCCTCTCAATTTTTTTAATTTTCTAAAATTTTTTGTTTTTTTATCATATCTTAAATAAATGAATGGGTGAGGCAATCATGTTATTGTATCATTACCCATGCTTCGTTATTTCGCCCGCTCACGCAGTCCAGTATATATATATATATTCTATTGAAAATATTGATTGTTTCTCATTTTTTGCCCTACCGTTGCTAACTTGAAAGCGCAGAATTTACTAGGGGATAAATCTATGAGGTATAGGTATGTATTTAATAGCTAGGTCAATGATTATATTTGTAATGAACAGTTTATAGGGACAATCGCTTTATGCTGCAAGAAAAATCTACCTGGTTCATTCTACAAGCTGTTTCCTTTTTCGCTCGCACGGTCAAAGTATAGAAAGATATGTATGTCTATATATATATATATATATATATATTTGATTTTCTCTCATTTTATTCTTGACGCTTGCTAAATCGAAAGCACAGAAAATACTAGGGGGTAAAGTTATGGAGTATATGCATATGTCTAGCTAAATCAATAACTGTACTTATAATAAACAATTTGTGTAGGTGATGACGTCGATGAAGCGTAAACGTAAATAAGGCTTATTGGGGGGACGGGGGGAGGTGATAGCTAAATTGATTGAGAAAGTAACTAAACTTGAAAAATGGATTCGACTTGAATCGATTGATGATTGATCGTGTACGAAAATGGTAGGTGTAGTATCAAGGCGGACTCAATGCCAGGAGCGCGGCCATATGGGAATTGAGCTTCGTTGTGAGACACCAGTTCCCCCAAGTTTTTTTTTCTTTTTTATAAACGTCTCAATCTGCATTTGTTTTTTTTTCTGGAATATTAAATTAGCCGAAGCGGTTGCCGACCGTCACTCTTGTGGGAAGAACTCTTAGATGAGTCAACATTAGTTAACTGGATATTCTCAACTCTACTCATATATTGGCTTTCGGTCAAGGGGGCTCAGCCAAGACCCCCGCCGTTTCACGTCCTATGTCACCACTGTGTCAGTTCTATCATCTCTTTCATGAACGACAAGAGGTGAGGCGACAATACCGTACAAGAAGCATCCTCGTTAACAACGTCAGACGACGCTATAAACGGATCTTCTTACTGTAAGTACGACACAACTGACAGAGGACAGGGATCGGCAGAGGCCCGCCTTGGTACGACACACTGAGTACGCATAAAATTACATCTACGGCAATTTTAGTCAGAGTGAGCAAGTTTGTTGAAGATAGGCAGACGAGTTAGCGGCGAATGATTGGTGCGACTGGCGGGTCGGCCCTGGAGAATGGGCGAACCTGGGGAAAGACTCCCAGAGCTGACTGAACCGGCAGACGATGCCGAGCCAAGGGAGACGGCGTCGAAATCAAACGTAAGCGAATTCACGGGACTAGACTGGCTTTGCTGGGTCACATCCGAGTCGCCGAATAGCTGGCCACAGCCAAGCCCGAGTCCAGCAGCGGAGTTTTGCTGCATCGCTGTAGACGAAAGACTTTGAGAATGCTGGAGGCTAACACCAGCGCTTGGGAAGGGGAACATGTCCGAGCTGGGCGAACTCCATGGACCCGACGAGCTGAGCAGGCTCAGCTGAGATCCGAACGGCGGCGTGACTGGCGCCGACCCCGCATTTTTCAGGAGGCTATGAGAGCTAGCATGGCCCTCGGCAGCGCTGAAGGCGGCTGCGAGCGTCGACATTTCGAGGTCCCCACCGAACGCCGAAAACAGAGGGTTGTTCGACAGCGATCGGGACGCGACTGACGGAGCTCCATAGATGCTAGGCGAAAACGGATCTTCGAACATGCCTGGCGACGATGATGGCGAAAGTTCTCCAGACGAGCCCGAACCAACGCTGCTGCCCAAGGAAAGCGACCGCAGTGAAGCCGGTTGGTGCGACACCTGATGGTGATTAGAGATGGATGCCGAGCCATTGTGACTGGGCGCCATACCAATCGCTGGCGACGACAGACTGGCGTGCAGAGGCTTACAACCGTGAACTGCATGTCCGTTCAGCGACGGACCATTCACGTTGACACTAGTCATCTGTACGGTGGCACGATGGTGCTGCTGCTGCGACTGTGGTTGGAGTCCCAGACCCACAGGCGTCTGCTGATGAGGATGCGTCTGCTGTTGCTGCTGAAGCCCGTAACCGGAAATAGACGTAGCCGTGCTCTGCTGCTGCTGTTGCTGGCCAAGTGTTGACATTTGTGGCATAATCTTGGCGCGATTCTCGTCCGGATTATGAATGTAATGGCATCGAGAGCCGTATGGGCAGAGACCCTTCGTGTGAAAGGTACAGCATAGTTCGGTCTTGTACTTCGGATGGCGCGTTAGTGTACGAAGCTCCTGATAACCGTGCGCGAACTGGCACTTGTCGCCATATTTACATACACCGCTCTCCTCAAATGATCGACAGAGTTCAGTTTTGTATCGGGACGAATTGCTGTTTTGTCCGTTCTGGCCGCCTTTCTGATTTTTCGGCTCAGATAATGAACGGTCAAGCTTTCGATGATGAGTCATTTGACCTCCATTGCTAGTACCTGTGCTTTGTTGCGTCCCGCCGTTACCGGAACCTGGACTACTCGAGTTATTGGAGTTTTGCTGCTGCTGCTGCTGCTGTTGCTGTGGGTGCTGATGATGTGACGGCTGGGTCTGCTGCTGGTGGCCAGCGCTCTGGATCTGCAGATATCGCTGCACAGTCATTGTCTTGCCGCACAAACTCTACTTCGCTCCTAAAGCCGTTAGTAGTGTCGATGATATACCGAGGCGAATAGTTACGCCACTTTTATTTTCACTCTCACACACAGAGATAACAAACTAGTGTCGTATTGGTCGTACTCAGTTGGTGTAGCGCACGCGTATCCTTCTTGGCGTTTTCCAAAAACAACTACCGACAAGCTACTTCGAAACCGACACGAGAAAAATAGCGAATGAATATGCTAGCTGGCGACAGCGTAAGCGATCACTACAAACGAACGAACGAACGAACAAAAGTGTTTCGTTGACTAGTCCTAGATGTTGTTAGTCCTGAGGCATTGACACACTTCAAAGTCGCACATAGATCAAGCACGTAAACCGTAACGAACAAGCAGGCCCTCACCAATGAAGCCGTCAAAATAGCCCGTCATTCATATATATCCTCGGGATAGTCGAGAAATAGTGTTCTATACCCGTCGAATCAGCACCGTATTCAATCGATGTACTCCTGAGAAACAACCTGTTATCGACACACTGTTGTAAATGGTATTCGACGTTTGAATCGTCTCCTGATGAACTGTTGTCACGTAAAGAAGCACACTCTGAAGCCGTCTGACTAGCTCGATAACTCAGATCACCAGCTCGTGTTGCTGTTCTGATTAGTGTTTGTCGTTTTCTTCTGTTGTCTATGGCTATTCGTATCAATATCAGTTTGTATAGTAATATAGTACGAATCCAACGAGAAAGACAACTGCTTGCATAAGCGCAAAAACAGAGACAAACACACGAAGAGTTAGTAACAGTACTCTCTTGCCAGTTATTATAGTAGTCTGCTTAAATTTTAACGCAGTTTCAGCTCTATTCTATCGCAAACTGAGTAAAAGTACCAGCAGTAGTCGTTTAAAATAAATATTCGACTCAAACGATGCTCCTGGCATTAACCACCATTGCCGCCGCCTACGACGAGCGCCGTCACACAACTTTGCTAAAACTCGTGTAATCCTTAGTGACTGGGCACACTGCTAGAGCTATCTATGTCGTGCGTTTGTGCTAGCACGGAACACTGGGAGCTCGACGCGATGCGGTTCGGCCCGTCAGGCGGCTAGCAGAGAAAGACAAGGGAGCAACGGCAAACGGCCAAGTAAAAGCACGTGCACTCCCTGCCCATGGGAAAGTGAAACGCGGCCCGGAGCGCCCCCTCAGTGCCACGAACACGGTGAGCGTCTGCCCGCGCCGTTGCCTACCAGCGCCATCTGCGGCCAAACGGCGAATCTTTTCGGGAAAGCGCTGCTGCCACCCCGCGTCAGATCAGCCAGCCAGCCAGCAGCAGTGCGCGACGGACATCTCTCCCTTACGTCGTTTTTTCGTTCGTTCACTCAATCCGCTGGCGTAGTTAATCAGTTGCTATCGCATCGAATCGGCCGTATTCGCAAGGGCCGATTCACATCTTCGACTAGAAGCAGCCGTAGTCGCCGCTTTTTTATCCTTATCCCAAAGGGGGGTTGCAGTAATGCCACTGGCCGCGCTGGCTGAGGCAACAGCAGAAGCAGCAACAGTTATGCTGCATGTAGTATAGTTGCTCATTGCTGCGACTTCTCCTGGTGGTTCGTTGGTAGCGACTGGTGGCGTTTACCTCGTACCGCTCGCAGCTCCCCATCGCTTGCCATCTGCAGCTACCAGCAACGGTAGCTGGAGTAGTGGTACAATTCGCTGATTACTATGGCATGGTAGCCGTTACTGACGCCATTGCTAAAACGGACGCTGTCGCTTGTTGTTATCGCTGGCATCATCAGCATCGTCATCACCATCACTCCTGCTACATCGCTTTTAATATTACTGCGCCTTGAGCCATGCGCCGGCAACGCCAGTATGCGCTGTTCACTAAATAGTAACAGGCAGACCAGCCATGTGAAGTCAGTAGTCAATGGGGCTCGCCAGCACTCTGCACCATTATTATCATTTTTATGATATGTGTTATATTACTGGTATAATAACATTGTTTGTATCGTTTGTCTATTCGTATATTTGTGTCTATTAGTCGATCGTTCACTGGCTGAGTTTCGTTGGCAGCTGTTCTACAATAGCTGCTTTCGAACCCCATAATCTACCCAGGAGCGAAAGCTACGGCAGCAACGACGACGGCAAACAGGTTCAACGTCTGTTGGCGTCACAGTAGCTGTGTAACGGTTCGTTTCGGGAAGCCACCGCTGCGGCCATAGCGTCGAAAGACACTCACCGAAGCGTTAGAGCCGCCATGCAATTCTACAATAGTTATTATAAAAGATAGTATTATTATACTCGGCAGGACTGCGAGACCAAAAGAAGGGGGTGCGGTGGGGACCGGGGCGGCCCGCTACAAACAACTATATTCATTTATGTGTCTCGTAGATTGTAGTATAGTACAAGTGAAGCACTACGGGATTGCTGATAATTTTGGTTCGTTGAGGCAACGCGTTTATTGGCAAATGAGTAGTGAACAACAGCGAATCAGTGAAATTGTCACCTGTAATCTGGTTAGGGTCGCGGCAAATCGATAGGCCGAGGACTGGCAGCCGATAGACCAATGCGGACTACGTGGCCTGTCCCAGTTGCAGTAGTTACCGCCCGATACCGTACTTACGGTGGCCGACTGCGCACTGATAGAAAAGTCAAAATAGCCGTGTAAATAAAATAGCGTAAATATCTATCTGTGCATGCATGTAATTGCGTGCGTATTAATAATCGTACGGTCAACTGTATAAATATAATAAATGGTTACTTGCTAGGTAATGTTTGCTCCTTCTAATAGTTTATAGTATCATTGTGTGCAATAATAGTCATCAGCACTGGTGGCGCCCTCTCATGTCAAGGGTTGGCCATAGGATACATTAGCTTGTAAGATACTGTACATGTGAATCTATATAGCTGACAATAGCTAATAATTGTTTACTAGAATTACTTGGCCTAAAATGACGTGGCTTATATTGTAACTATCGGTGCCCCTGTCGTTATTGTCATTGTTATTACTACGAATTTCGCACAAGTATGGAGAAAAATTGTAGCATTTTAGGTAGCAGCAGAGGCTAGCGTGTACTGCTAATAGCAGTTTAATATAGTAAGTTAGTCTAATAGTAGTTTCGAATAACAGTCGTCTATATTTGCAGCACTAGTTACTACTGCCGAAGTGTTCGTTCGTGCTGATCTGGAGCAGTATACTATCACTAGGCCTAGAAACTACTGCCTCAGGAGCGGCAGCAATGCCAGCACTACCGATAGTTCGTCTGAGGTAAGAATTTATTCTCAACAAAACAATAGCAACCTCAACAATAGTCACTGTTACAGTTTCTAAAAAGTTGCCGGACTAGACTACTGGGTCATGTTTCGACGTGTGGTGACGCGTTACGGCAACAACGATACCATATGTCATGCCGCAGCGACCGCTCGCAACCGTTTTTCAACTTTTTTGCTGATTTTCTCGTTTTCGACTTCTTGTCCTGGCCCCCCACGGTTTTTAATGTCAAAAAAAAAAAAAAAAAAAAAAAAAGGAAAAAAAAACAAAAAAGCTTTCACAACGACAGTTAACGCTATTGCACATGCAAAAGTTTTAGCTACAGACGACGAAAAGTTAACGACGCCAAGCAGCAAGCCGCAGCGATATGTTGCAACGCTTGATGAATAAAAGTTAACCTTCGCGAGGCTTGACGCATGACAAATGGCAAAACACGGCCGATTGTAACCACGAGCGGTGGCGTGGCACCTGCTATGATGGCGCGTCTTTATGGAACATGGCGGCGGCGGCAACCCTTCGGAATCTGTTATGTTAGGAAGAAAAAATCATCTAATTTTATATCCGGTAATGATACTGATACTCAACCATTCATTAGAGATTTTGCTTTTAGTGGGCTGGCCGAGATGGTAACTTTTCATGGCAATGCTACCTGACGATATAGTTTTAAAGTCGTGCCAACAACGTCATTAGCCTCGTGTGGACCTCTGCGTTGGGCAGTGGGAATCACATGTTTGGTTTGCGCCGTTTGATAACCCCATTGCTTGGCATTGGTCCTTATGTTTATGTTTGCTTGTGCACAGTTGTTTATGATGAAGGTAGGACAGCGCGCAAAGGCAGCAGCTTGCAATGGCTACACGGACATGTTTCATCAACATATTTTGTTGGACTGACAGACAAGCGACAGTCGCTCGGACCGGCGTATCGCATAGTGAACCATCGCAAAATCTATACCAAATTAACGACAAACGCATGGGGGTAGCGACAAGTTACGTGAAAAACAACACACAACTTTTACTGCCTTCACTGCTTTTGTTGTGACGAATGTCGCTGCTAAACGTAGGTGAGAAGTGCAGGAGTGCAGCGATCTGCACCATCAACCGATTGGTCGATCGACAACAGCAGGGCACACAAATGGTGATAGCTGTCGATTCAGGATTGACCCGATCCGCCGGCCATGTGGGCTTCGGCGATGCCACTGTCCCAATCTGGGCGGAACCTTTTTGTTTTTGTCATGAAAAATAAGCTTTTTTACGTTTTTCGTGTCGTTGAATACCGTCGCACACAAAAGTTATGTTTTTGTCAAAGCAGAGTGGGAGAAAGTAACACTATTAGCAGTAAATAGAACTGCCACCTTTTCAAATCAACCTTCGCTCCTTGTCTAGACTCGTATTAGTCGCTTTGGAGACGGTTTATCGCTGCTGTCGTTTTTGCTTAGAGGTCGCGGCTTCTTGTATGGTCGGTCTTCGGTCGATTTGCTGCTGCCTTTCTTTGTGATGTCTTAACTATTATTATTTTTTTTTTTTTTTTACTTTTTAATAGCGTCCTTTTACCGCCCTTGTCGTCATCGGCGTCGGTCAGATCGAGAAAGCCAGCAACTAGAGCACCGACAAGTGGCCGGTACGCTTGACGCGCAGCGCCCAAGCCTTTCGGCCTAGTTGTCGCAATTGCTCGTGATTATTTACTTTACGGAAAAGTTGGCCGGTTTATAAATGAAAAAAATCACCAGTTCACCTTAGCTAGTTGATAGTAATTCGCAATTGTATGCAATGCTGAATGTAAACGATGCGCAGGCTTTAGATTGTCAAGAGAGGCTATACGCAGGGGTAGGAAAGCTTTCATTTTACTTTGGCCTTCTGCCTTCACTATTGTGACCAGAAGGGTAACTGATCATTGAAACTTGTAGAACGAACATATCAAGACGAAAGAAGACAGCAGCTACTTACTGTGTTTCTCATAAAAATTGAAGTAGCAAAAGTTCTATCTAATTACAACAAGTGTGACTGTGTGGGCGTGAAACTTCACGGGCGTGTCGTTTTTTTCTACAAGTTACATAGCAGTTTTTTTGACATACGAAATTTACCAAGACTGGAAGGCCAGTTAGCCTGTTACGGCTGACGTTAAGTGCAAGGCATACATAAAAATAGCGAAAAACTTTTTTATAGGGCCCAAGACCTCCTCAATGATCTTGCTTCCTGCCTTTAAAGCTCTAGTGCTTACGGAACTATTTTGACAAGAATGGAGGTAGCCAACCAAGAGAAACGCGTGACACAGTCAGAAGCTTCCCCCCATCCAGCACCTGGTCTGTTGCCGTAATGGTAATGAAATTCCACCAGCGCAAATCCTCTGATAGTACTTGATTCATAATGGGTATGAGTCCCATAGTGTTGCAGCGAAACTCATACGTCAAGAACGGTGTGGATTATGAATTTTTTTCATCTTGATAAAAACAATGCATCAGCTGAGTGATTAAGTTATATTTTTGAAGTAGTGAAGTAGTAGCTGAGCCATAAGTTCCTTCCAAGTAACTTACAATGTACGATAAAGGTAGAGGTATGTTTTTATTGTCACTCTTTAGCGCACCTATTTTGTTAATCTAAGAGAACATCTATAAAATAGTGCGTACGGTAAACGTTCGCAGCCTCAGCCTTAATCAGTGATGAGGTATGAGATAGGATTACTGCGCCCTAAGGAGAACGTTCCTAAAGGAACTTTTAGAGTTTGGGAAGGTCCAAAGCTGACCACGTAAGTATACGTAATTAAAACACACGAAACGTTTTCAGCTTAACGTGTGATCATGCATTCGTTAAACATTGT